GATCAAGAACGACACCGAAACGTGGCATAGACTCTGCGACAAATACCACAACAAGCATTGTGCTACACCTGGTTATTATCCGTTTCCATCCAAACTCTAAATTAGGACTTGAATTATTTGGTTTGCTTTTAAAGCATACGTTCGCGTATCAGGTATTTTACTAAGTTATCACATACCATGTGGTATTTGGAAATACTCTTCAACTTCCTGATTAAGCGGATTGATCATTATTGTTATAGATAAAAAAACATGTAGGGCAATGACGACATTTATGCTCTGTTGAATCCAAACTGTTTGAATAGATAAGATTACTGATTCGCCAACACTGTTTCCGTAGACGACATAACCAAGCACAGAAACCACAATGTACATTACACCAGTCACTTAAATTAGTTGCTTTTTAAGAAGCTGACTACTTTTTTATGCTTTTTGCTCTCGGAAAGAACTTCTAGAGTTTGTGATAAAGAGCCGAAAAGAGATAGAAGTGTTTGAGTAATATGCTAAAACTCAAAAATAATTGAATCAATTGAGAGAAATGGTGACGTAAAACTTTTTACCGGTTAAAAGAGTCTCTAGCATCAAATTTTTGCTTTTACTATATAATATCCAGCAATTTTCAAAAAAGTTTCTGTAACTTTGCGCCGTTTGCAGGCGTATGATTATGATATTCTACATCCGACGTTTTAGGAAAATTTCTACTGTAATAGAGATGATTTCTCACCTATGAAAGCGAGAATTGCTGTTCTTCGAAAACGGTAGGGTTTTTTCATATCGTGAGCAATGGTTGGAAAGCAGCCATGGCCGCCGTAAGCAAAAACCAAGGTCCCATAAGCGTGAAAGATTCCGTGTAATGTCCACGGTGACGTTGCAGCTACTGGTCTGCAGGTGGATAAATCCCGCAGTGTTCCAATAATAATCAGAACTACTGCTATTGCAGTTGCAATCATAGCACAGACAATAACAGGCCTTCAATTTTATGGCATATAAAAAACCTGACGTCGTTGAATCGCAATTTTTTTTAAGCCGGATCAAATTCTTTTTATTGCTGTTTTCAATTGATATTTAGCACTAAGAAAGGTTGTTGTTGGCAAAAGTGTTGACAGATTAGCTGAATGCAAAGTTGCAATGAATTTGTTAAATTTTAAAATAACTAACAAGCTATAAGGTATTACAGTTTAATAAAATTTGACTATTTAAATTACATGTATGATTTCTTTCGACGACGGTCAAGTGACCTCAAAATTTTTACCAAAAATCCTTTGGACTTTTTAAAAAGGTCAGTGGAGTCAGGACAGTGGCAACCAGGATAATTGAATAACAAATGCTGATGGGCGTATTGAAGAATACAGACATTAAACTCGACAGATTCTTTGCTGCCAGGAGTATCAACACCACTGTAGTTCCAAACAAGGACAAGTTTGAAATGAATGCAATAGACAACCTGACACACGAAAACAGATTACTTGTACAGTTTATCTTTTTTTTGTGTGTGTAAATATTTTTTGATTACTACTTTAGTATCCTTGAGCAAATTTTTGAATTCAAATTTGAGTTTACTTTGCAGATAAATGGTATGATGTAAAACTCGGTGAGATATGTCACCTCAGCCATTTCCCGCCGGCTCTGAAACCCATTTCTGAATAAGGTTGCCGATGATGTTTCCTGTAAATAGGCCATCTTTCCTGCATAATCGCCCAACTGTCGCCAAGCTGTACTGCTGTGTACTGAGCAATACACGCAAATAGGATTAGCATGCCATATCCCATCACTGGCCCTGAATTATCACTAACTAATAAGATCAAGGCTTTCGCTTACAATTTTGCGGTCATAAACAGTTTGGGACAGCTCATTTCGCTTTTATTTCTGTATTTTTAATAATAAACAGTGCTTATTTTTGTGCAATTTTGCAATTTAGTCATCTTTTAATAAATAATTATTAAATCAAATATGCTGTTATAATTTTACCAGCGGCAGTAATCGCATTCGGTAAGGCAACAATGCCACCGCCAGCAATTTCGCCAATAATTACCAAGCCAGTTATTAACCATCCTAAACCAATTTCGTTCCTATGCTTCTTCGTCTGACTTTCAGCAAAAACTAAGTTCGGAGATCGGTCTTTCGATAAGGTGAAAATTGGGATGTTTCTAAAAAATAGAGAAGAATTAGTGCGCTAAATTAGGAGTTATATTATGATTCAGAATGTTAAAACAGTATAAGAAAAAATTTTTAATTTTTAAGGTTTTGAAGTGTCTTCTTACTTTTCAGTAAATTGCTCGTTGACTGCCATTGAATTTCTGCCATAAACTTTGTTTCAGAACTGTGGAAAAATTTGGTGTTATTAGGTTCTGACAATAAAATATCATTAAAAAAATTGAGTAACGAATGATATAGCATTTGGAAGTAAACAATATAATTTTTTTCATCATTATTTTTAATTAATTTGTAAGCTGCGTTGTATTTTCTCAGAAATGTCAAAATTATTAGGTCAGATTTTATGGTACTAAACTAAACAATTTTTATTTTTTATGATACAGTAAAAATTTCTTGTAGCATTGATTTATTTGGTAGTGAAATGCTAAGCCCAGTAGGTTTGTACAACTGAAATACTTTTTCACTTGAATATTCAAAAGTATTTATCTGAAGTTATTAAGCTGCTAAGTTTTACATAGTATATTTTCGGAATTTTGCAATGAAGTCTCTCTTCAAAATTTTTGAAAGTAAGAGCAAAAAAATTGGTCAAGCAAATATTTTAGAAAAATTTTGGTGCACTTGCAACCTACAAATGAACAGAGCAAGAAAAAAAACTGAGAAGAATAAGCAATACTTTAATTCAATCAGAAAAGGAACGGTATTGGCATAGGCAATAAGAATTCAAGAAATTTTTATTTATTGAATCTGTTTTTGGTTTTATATTGGTTGGAACAATGCTTTCTATCCTGAAAGGTTGTTTAAGAAAAAAAAAATTGGAAGAACTGCTTGATAAATTATGACAAAAAAATTTTTTTTTACACATTAGAATTCTATACAAAGCAGCAAGAGCAAACCTTAAAAAAACTTCAAAAATGTAAAAAAAAAAATTGTTTACACCTAGACTGATCTAACATATCAACAAACCAGAAGACATGTGCAACAATAATAGACAGATCAACAATTCTCAAGCAGTTTTTTTTTTTAGATAGAAAGTTATTTTAATCAAATATATTTGGTACAAATTGCTGTATCGCCACTGTTAAGCACGTTAATCAAATTTATGTGATTCGACACAATTTTTGTTTACTTTTTTTTTTTTTTTTTTTTTTTTTTTTT